GACTATTGGGTTTCACGGGTGCAAATCTGACACATCCCTATTCGTCTTCTCCCAAACCACGGGGATAGCCTACCTCCTGCTATATGTTGACGACATAGTTCTCCCTGCCTCTTCCTCTGCACACCTTCAGAGCATCATTCAGAAACTCAAGGCCGAGTTTGCCAACATATAGCAGTGAGAACTATGTCGTCAACATATAGCAGGAGGTAGGCTATCCCCGTGGTATGGGAGAAGACGAACAGGGATGTGTCAGATTTGCCATGACGGACATGGGTGACTTGCATTTCTTCCTCGGCATCAATGTTCATCGCACTCCCACTGGGATGTTCCTCCATCTCTACGCCAGTAGACACCAAGACGAAACTCTCCTCATCAGCTGGTACGGCACTCCCAGATCCACCGCTGTACAGATCCGTTGTTGGAGCCCTGCAGTACCTCACCTTCACTCGACCGGACATCACATACGTCGTCCAGCAGTTGTGCCTTCATCTCCATGCACCTAGAGACGCACATCTCGTAGTCATGAAGCGCATTCTTTGCTATCTTCGTGGTTCGGCCACCCATGGCATTCACTTGACACGATCCAGTACAGATTTTTTGGAGGCTTATTCTGATGCGGACTGGGCCGGCTATCCCGACACTCGCCGCTCCACCTCCGGTTACTGCGTGTTCTTGGGCGACAATCTGGTCTCCTGGTCGTCCAAACGCCAGGCCACCACGTCCCGATCCAGTGCAGAGGCTGAATACCGGGCTGTGGCCAATGCCGTTGCAGAAACTTCGTGGATTCGAAATCTTCTCTTTGAGCTTCCGCAGCCCCTACGACGTGCCACTCTCGTGTTCTGCGACAACATCAGCACCGTCTATCTATTATCCAATCCAGTGCAGCACCAGCGGACCAAGCACGTGGAGGTCGACATACATTTTGTCCGCGACAAAGTTGCACTCGGTCAGGTTCGCGTCCTTCATGTTCCCTCCTCTTCCCAGTATGCTGATATATTCACCAAAGGACTGCCATCTCTGCTCTTCCTCGAGTTCAAATCCAGCCTGGGAATTCGACCTCCTCCACATCCGACATAGCCGGGAGCATGCTAAATATATTAATTATATTTACTATCTTTGTAATTATTATGTTACCATACCTGTATAGACTTCCTAATATGGCTCTCCTACTATGATTAGGATTGAAGCCTCTACTATATATTGATGTAACTTCTACACAATTATTCAATGAAAACATTTCTTCTTCATAATTCATAATTTTGTTTCATTGAAAAGATAATAAGTTGTATTAAATTTTAGTTTCTTAGTCACTTTATTATAATTTTTGTAATTGAATTTATTCATTTATAAATAAAATAATCAATTTATAATTATACATTATATTTTTTCTATTATGTACAAATACGCTACCTTTATTTGATGTACATGTTCAAAATACATTGCAAAAATAAATGTGAGAAATGAGCATCGTGTAACTTGTGGATGTTTATGATCTGGCACACATGACACATGCGCTAACACTCAATATCCAAATATATAACTAGTATTCCTACCCGTGCGATGCACGGGGTCGAACGAATATCTTGTCAATTCTGAATTTATTTAATGTAATATTTTTGGTCAAACAGTGACACACTTTGACTACAAATTGTGAGAAAAGTATACTTAATTATAATATAAATTTAGTAAAATTGAGTTCATCTTAGGATATAGTTTTGATATGTTAAATTTTTATATCATTTATTTATTTAGATTTTGTTTAATCCATGGTCAAAGAGTGTCAGTGTTTGACTAAAAAAGTGAAAACATGAAAGAGTTTTAGGATCAGAGAAAATAAACAAAGTACTGTATGATTTTTTAAAATTAAAAATATAAAATTTAAGTAATAATTTTTATTCCAACACCTTTTATTTTTCTCAACATTTTTTAGTCTTTCTAACTCTTTCTAATTTTTTTCTAGTCCCTTACAGATACTTATATCATTTTTTAGTCTTTTTAATTTCTTCTAACTCTTTTTAATTTTTTCTAGTCACTTGTAATTTTTCCTGCTTTTGATTTCTTTTAATTCATAGCTTTTTGAATTCAATCAAGTTTCTTCTAACTCGAGACCCTACTTGTTGTTTGATGAATTTTCTTCTAACTCCTTCCATTTTGTTTTGAAATTTTCTAGTTCTTTCTAAGTTTTTCCAATTTATTCTAACTTCTTCCATTTTCTCAACATCCAACACTATTTTTTAAAACCCCAAAAAACGGGCTTTTAGTCCACCTCGCATAGTAAGAACCTACTACCCCCGCCCCAGTTGTCAAGTTTTGACTTTTTTAGTCAACTATTTTTAACATTTGACCTATAATTAAATAATATATATACTGTATATGATGACCGATACATGACGAGTGGCCCAAATCCTGTGTCTAAACGCTCGTGGGCATCCGCAGACAGGTGAAATCGGCCTTGGGCCGGCCCAATTTCTTGGGCCTGGGCCGACCCGAATCTGAGCACTGCGTAGAGTCCACCTTCAATAAGAAGCTATAGGTTGCGGAGAGAGGGCCGAAGGAAGAGGATCGCGCAAATCCTGGGATTAGTTCCCATAACATTAAACTACCTTAATTACGTAAAGAACATGTAGAAATAGAGGAGAACTGAACGGAAAACCTCAAGCTAAACCTAGTATATAATTTCATAGTTCTCGAGTTCTCGTTTCTTGATTATTCTTATGATCCGTGTTCCAAGTCGGATTATTTGGTGGAATTCTTGTTCATCAGTATATTAATTAGATAAAATAATATTTTGAAAACATTTTATATAATAAATCTAATAAAACTATTTTTGTATCAATATCTAATACTCCCTCCGTCCCACTCTCTTTGTCCACTTACCTTTTGTCACACCATCCAATGCATTTCTTTAATCCATTTTATCTTGTAATTTGTATATTAAAAAATTATAGAAATTATATATTAATAATCTATATGTTAAGGCAAATCAAACAAGATTACACATGACTATATTTAGGCTTACACATTGAGAGAATTTGATGAGCCAAAGTGCTTAGATGAACAGTTCCAAAAGTCAAAAGTGGACAAAGAGAGTGAGACGAAGGTAATATCATTTTTTAAATTTGAGATCAAAGTTTACCAATTTTGACTAAAAAAGTTAAAAGTATACAAATACTTTTAACTCCAACTTTTTGCAACTCCTAATTTTTCAACTTATCCTACTTTCTTGTATTCCTACCATCCCCTTTTTCGAACACTTTCCTGTTTTCCACCATCTCCTGATTAAAGTGATTATAATTACTACTCCGTACTTTGTATTATTATAGCGTACTACGTAGTATTATGTTATTATTATTATTATTATTATTATTATTATTATTATTATTATTATTATTATTATTATTATTATTATTATTATTATTATTATTATTATTATTATTATTATTATTATTACTACTACTACTACTACTACTACTACTACTACTACTACAACTTTAGTTATACATGTAATAAAAGCGGTATACTCCCTCCGTCCTATAATGATCTTCCCGGTTCGCAAAACGAAGAATCTCAAGTTTTTTCAATCTATTTTATTTAAATATTGGTATAGAAATAAAAATAAAACATACATATTTAAAAACTACATCAAAAGTTCAACAAAACAAGTGGTGAAAAGAATATTTTATTTTATCATATAGGCTATGAAAAAACACAAATAAATATAAATTCCCGTGAAGTTAGAATAGTGCTCTGGTAAGATCATTATAGGACGGAGGGAGTATATGACTTTGGGGTAATAGCTTGGGTACTCCCGCGGTTTAAAAAAGAAGCGCCAAAACCCCCTCTACTTTCAAATTTTTTTTGTAAAACCTCTGAGGTTTTGAATAGTGCAGAGACCCCCCCTCTTACCTATTTTTAGAGATAAAGAGACATTTCTTCCCCTTGTTTTTCTCTATCTTCAAGTTTTACTCTTTATTTACATTTTTTGTTATACAAATAAATAAAATAAAATATACGCCATCTTTCTCAAATTAAAATTTTTCGTTTATTTAATTTTCAAAATTTTTCTATAGAAAATGTTACAAAAGAAAATGAAAAATTAAAAAATGAAATAAAATACACTTTTTCATTATAAGTAAAAGTAAAATAAGTAAAATAAAAATTTAGACAACATATACTCACAGTATCTCTGATTAAAAATTCTAAGTTTTTTTTAAAGTAAAATGATTTTTAAGGACTTTAAAAAATGTAGAACAGAAAGATGAAATAAAATACGGAGTTAAAGAAAAAGGCTGTTTTTTATATTTTTCTTTTCATTACCTTTTTAAATTATTATTTTTACTTTGTAAATAATATTTTATTTTTCATTTTCTTTTGTAACATTCACCAAAAAAAATATATTTTGTTTCCAAAATACATTATGGAAAATTTTAATTTGAGATGGGAAGCGTATATTTTAATTTTATATATTTGTATAAAAGGAAAATAAAATTGGGAAAATTCAAGATCGAAGAAAAAAAGGTATAAATGTCATTTTTGTTTTAAAAATAGGTAAGAGAGGCATGTGTGCTCTATTTAGAAATCATAGGAACTTTATAAATAACTTTTGAAAATAGAGCAGGTTTTGATGCCCTTTTTGTAAACCACGAAAGACACTCATACTATTGGCCCATATAACTTCAAAGTTATATATGTAATATTGGTTTAATTGGGTAGATCTTGTGAAATAATTTCCAAAGTAAGGACTTACGTACAAACACTTATGAACAAAATAGACAGTACATTACCTCATAAAGAATAAGAGTAATTTACTTAAATAGGACTAAAACATAATGACTTTCTCTATATAGGACTATATGTTTTTATTTTTCAATGTAGGACCATTGGTCAGTATCTATTAGTCATTATTCAACTAAATATTCAGCATCACTTGGACATTATTCTTCTCACTAATCATTATTAAGTCATATTTAGAAAATAAAAAACTTTAAATCCTACATTGGGAAATGACTTATGTTTTAGTCCTATTCAATGCAAATTTCACAAAGAATAATTGAATTAAAAAAATAAAGAAAGAAGTGAAACATCTTTTCCAAACCGTGATCACCGCGTACGTGGCGCTGCCACGGCTAATCACGGATACCGCCTATATATAGCATTTACGGAGTATAATTCAGTGGACAAGGAACAATGACTCTTTCAATAAATGTACTTATTAGCAATAGCGGCTTGCATTGGAGTGAATTCTTGATGAGATGTCGCACTTGTAACCCGGAGGAATGGACATGCCACACATCCCAATGAGTTCAATTGCCACTGGCATAAAAATGGTGAGATTCATCATCTTCATGCAGAATGTGGAGCACATGCACATCGCAGCTTCTAACCCCAACAGTCCTCCAAGCATAGGGCAGCACTGCCCTATCGCAGGGTCACCGATGTGGATGTGAATCAACCCGCCTAATATCTCCACGCATGCCCCGAGCTTCATCGTGTCTATCGGGCAAGCCGCCGTAGGAGGCAGTGGCGGTGGTGGAAGCGCCTTTGGTGGCGGGGGCACGTGCAATGGCGCCTTTGGCGGCACTGGCACTGGCGGTTGTGGTTTGGGCGCGGGCGGTGGTGGCCGCGACGCTGGCGGTCGTGGTTTTGGAGGTTGAGCTCTCGGTGGTTTTGCACCCGGGGGTGGTGGCCATAATGCCGGCATTGGAGCGGGTGGTTTTACGAGGGGAAGAGCTAACGAAACTTCAAAGAGCGTGGAAACAAGACAAACTGTGATTATGAGCTCTGAAGTCTCCATCATTTAATGGGTGCTTTAGAAAACCAAAAGACAAAAAATATTTTCAGAATCAGTTAAGCTGTTCTTGATGATGATATATATATATATATATATAATGGTTACGACTCATACTTGGCTTTGGATGTTACAGAGTACTCTTGTAAAAACTCTGGCATATTACTTAGTAAAAGTACTGCAAAAGTTGTATGAGTGATTGAGAGTGAATGACTCTAGAACACAGTCAATGATCCGAAACATGTGCCCTTCCGAATGGAATGAAATTACTTAATTTTGCCATCCTTCTCCATTTTTCCAATTTTGAAAAGTAAATTTCATAAAAGGTCCCCAGTTATAGGTCGTTTTACACATTTAGTCCCTTACATATCAAATATTACTAATTTAATCCCTAATTATTACTCCCTCCGTCCCTAAATAAACTTTCCCTTTCGTTTTTTCTTTGTCCCCAAATAAACTTCTTTTTTCTCTTAAAAAACCCCTTTTACCCCTTACTTTTTCATACCCTACCTATCACATCATACTTTTTTACTAATAATCTACATATGACATCTTACTTTTACACATCACATCAAGGGTATTTTTGGAAACTCAATACAAAAATATCCCTCTTAAATCCTCAAAAAGTAAAAAAGGGAAGTTTATTTAGGGACGGAGGGAGTATATTCATTTCTACGAATGGTCCTTTGTTAACATTTCCGTTAAAAACGTGGATAAAATTGTAAATTCACACTCCTTTCTCTCCTCAATTAAACTTCCTCCCTCCCCTCGCACTTCTTTCCAAAACCCATCGCTGAGTTTGAAGCTTTGAACCCAAAACCGAAATCATCACTCTTCTCTCAATTGTTTGTCTAACTAGTGGAACCTTAATTCGAAACCAGTAACGTTCATGGATGAGTTTTAATGTTTATTTTTTTTGCAATTTCTTGAGACTAACCGATAAAACTCATCCATAAAGCTTATTAGTTTTGATTTTAGGTTCCACCAGGAAGACTTATAATTGGGAGAGGAATGGTCATTTCAATTTTGGGTCTAGAGCTTCAAACTCAGCGACGAGTTTGGGAAAGAGTACGAGAGGAGGGAGGAAGCTCAAAGGGAGTGAATAAAATTGAACAAAATAGCACTTGAAAAATAAATCACAACCGCAAATTTAAAGAAAGAAGAAACAAATGTGCTCGTACAAATCCAGTCCACAACATACTGTAGAGAGAGTTTTGAAAGCAATAATGGGAGGGGGGAGGGGGGAGGGAGAGAGTCTAGGGTAGGGTAGATAATTAAGATTTAAATAATAATGAAATCACGGGCCTAACAGTTTGACATCCTTTCATGTCAATCCTTCAAACCTTAACCGCGCCTTGAACGTAATTGCGAACCTGCAAATTAAAACACACCAAAGATTAATAATTACACAATAAAAATCAGAGGGGAAAAAAACACTGAAAAAATAAAATTCTATATAAATACTCAGCTGCGAGCATTAATTAAATAATTTTCAAGCAGCCAATCACAGGACGATGTATATATAGAAGAAGGTGCATGTTACTATATATCAATAATTTTTCTGTTGCTTTATACAGCAATGATAGGGAGGAACAAACAAATTCAATAATTGATCTTGATCGATGATAATAAAGGTGATATATTCAGGAAAATAAATAGGGAAAAACTAAATAAATTTCACAACTGGCCTTTCTACGGAAAGAAATTAAAAGAAATGTTTGGAGTAAATTATATAAAAGGTCCCCAGTTATAAGTCGTTTTACATATTTAGTCCCTACATATCTAATATTACTAACTTAGTCCCCAATTATTATATTTATTTCCACGAATGGTCCTTTGTTAATATTTCCGTTAAAAACGTTGACAAAATTGTATATTCATACTTCTCTCTCTCCTCAATTAAGCTTTCTTCATCTTCTCATACTCTTTCCCAAACTCGTTTTGAAGCTTTTAAACCCAAAACTTAAATGATCGTTCTTCCAGTTAGACAAACAATTGAGAGAAGGGTGATGATTTTGATTTAGGATTCAAAACTAGAAACTTTACGACGGGTTTGAGAAATGAGTACAAGGGAAGAGGAAGCTTAATTGAAGAGAGAAAGGAGTGCGAATTTTTAATTTTATCCACGTTTTAACGAAAATGTTAACAAAGGACCATTCGTGGAAATAAATATAATAATTGGGGACCAAATTAGCAACATTTGATATGTAGGGACTAAATATGTAAAACGACCTATAACTGAGGACCTTTTATGAAATTTACTCAAATGTTTGTGTTAAAAGAAAGAAAAGACAAATCATTGTTTCATTTTAGAATAATAAAAGTAAATAAGGAGAATTGCTCCAAAAACACATTGCATTTAGTGAAAATTATGCCAAACCAATCCGACAAGAATTGGATAGATCGAAGCGGTTTTAAGTATGGCTACATTGTTATGTCACGTAGTACTTTATAAAGTGATCTACGATCATAGAGTTAATTATTGGAAAGAGGTCTGAATGTAGGGCTACGTGCGTACAACTGAAAAGTATGGCGTTTATTTTAGGTCAAGCATATTTCCACACCAGAACAAACTATTACTACTCTAGTTTTGAGTATTTGTTTGTTAAATTTTGATTTTATCATACTCCCTCCGTTTTCAAAAACACTTCCTCTTTCATTTTTTTTACTTCCAACAAAACACTTCCACTTTCTTTTAAAAAACCACTTTTACCCTTACTTTTTCATACCATACCTATCACATCATACTTTTTCTCTAATACTCAATCCATCACATCTTACTTTTACCCATCACATCAATGGCAAAATTGGAAGTCAACTACAATTTAACACTTCCTTATTTTTACACAAAGTCAAAATAGGAACACTTTTAAAAAACGGAGGGAGTACTATACTAATATTTTTAAATTAAAAGTGAAATTCTTAAATACAAAAAAACGTAAAATTTAAAATTCTTCTCCTTTTCTTTTTCATTCGTCCAAAAAAACCCTTCCTTTTCTCTATTAAAAAGTCAATTTTACCCATATTAATTCTTAACATACATATCGTATTACATTTATTCTCTATTAATCTACCCATCACATTCTACTTTATCAATCAGATCAAAGAGTATTTTGGAAAGTCCATACTAAAATACAGTTCTCTTAAATCTTTTAAAAGTCAAAATAAGAAGTTTTTTTATGGGATCAAGGGAGTAAGTAAAATGGTGTAATAGGGGAAGTGGGTCAAATTTTGTTTGTGTCATTTGGCCTTTATAATAGAGAAGGGAGTAAAAAACAAGATGTGTAGGCGCCCACATACAGATAGCTAACAAGTCACGAGATTGCATCGAAAAACTACTCGCAGGAAAATTTTACCACTCTTTAAAAAGAAATTTACTGGAAAATAAAACGTTTAAATTATTACTACGGAGTATTAACCTTTTGGGATGGGGGTTTAAAGGGAGCAAGTGTAACCGGGTGGAGGAGTCTTGCCGCAGGTGACGAGGAGCTGAAGGGCGAGTGGGACGTA